GACACCCCCTCAGTTGTTTTAGGGTTGGTTTGGGATTCTCTTCTTTTATGCCTCCAATTTTTTAGGAGGAGTGACAGTCCCTGAACCCCCAAAAACTTCCATTTTGGAGCTGTGTGGTGGTCTCTGACCCCTCCCCAAATTATTCTAGGTAGTCCCTGACCCCTCCAAACCCTTGTTTTGGTGTGGGGGGGGGCGGTGACTGCAGAGTTCTCTGACCCTCCCAAATCACTTGGAGGGTAGTTTCGGGTTCCTCCTGTTCCCCTAAACCCCCATTTTTTGGGGGGCTCCTTGAGTGCCCCTTCCCCACTGATTTCCTTCTCGTCCTCAGCTTGGACCCTCGGTGCTGGATTTCGGGGGGGGCCCCTCCTCCCCTGGGCCGTGGATGGACGCCGAGGGGGGAGTGGGACACGGTGGGGGGGGGGGGGGTGGTGAAGGTGGGGAGAACCCTCATTTTGTACTCCCATTGTGTCATATTAAAGGTCAGACCCTCTCCGAGTCGTGTCTCGTGGGTGTGGTCCCCTCTGGGTGGTCCCTGCTCCGCGGGGGTCTCAGGGGGCTTCAGTCCCTGTGGGGTGACCCCTCTCCAAGGGGGGGTCTTGGAGCATTTCAGTCTCACTGACCCCCCCGGGCCGTTTGCAGCGAGGCCTTTCCAGCTCTCAATGTTTCAGCCTCAGTGCCCTCCATGTCAGGACCGTCCCACCTGCCCCCTGGACCCTCCTGGAACTCGGCAGGGCCGGGGGTGGCAACTTGGGCCCAGAGTTGGTCCAAACAGACTGATTAAAGTCCGAGATTCACCTTTTCATGTCCCATCCTTAGACAGGAACCCCAGACAGTGCCCAGGAGGGATCTCCTTGCCCTGCACTGAGGGAAGGGACTCAGCTGAGTCAGCAGAGGTGTCTCACTGGGGCTCTGCAGTCCTGGGGCTAAAAGGACACTCAGCTCCCTCCACAACCCCCATGGTGTGGGATTCCCATTGCCCCAGTTCAGGTGGGCACAAAACAGGAATCTGCAGGTGAGCTCCTCTCTCAGCTCCCCTGGCAATGAACAAAGACAAAAGTTCACAGCACTCGGTTACCCAAGTGCTGGACACAAACACTTGGTTATTTCTGAGGTGCCAGAGGTGACCAAGGTTCCTGCTGGGAACTGCAGGCTCCGGTGGAGCAATCCATGGAGACAGGGAAGCATCTGCAGGCATCTTCTTGGAGGCTGCTGGGACGTCGCTTTGCCCAGTTTAAATGGCAGAAGGTGCCCACGTGTAGGACAGGGGAACCTAAAGCTGTTCCTCGTGTCCGTGGCAGCCCATAGAGGTGTCCCCCACTGAACCCAAACCACAGCACTGTGCCAGCTACCAGCAAGAAAATTCCCTGTCTCTCAGCCAAGGCCAGGACAGTGTCCAACCCTTATCCCACACCATTTACATCATGCCAGTTTTATTGGTAAATCACACTCGGGATGTCAGTCCCTGACCCGCTCAGTAAGCACGTGGCAGTGGGGTTGGGATAAAGGGGGAAGGTGAAAGGGAAGAAAGAAAGTGTCACAACCCATCACCAAGGGCGTGACGTTCGCTGTAGATTCTTGCCAGGCTCAGCAAAGGCAGCAGATGTGAACTTTTATGGTCACCTTAATTCTGGCACCCAGCCCGCTGTTAACACTCAGGAGGTGCTGGCCTTTAGACTTTCCGATAGACTTGCACAAGTGGTGGCTGCCAAGCCCTTATTTTTGCACAGTGCACTTATTTTTGTACAGGACACTGCAGTCAGCTCTCAATAGGCCGTGTTCTCTTCGACACCTTTGTGAAAAACTTGGTCACAGGATTGGCAGCCTGCAGATTACACAAATCTTGGAGGAGCTGCCTCGAAGGCAGGGAGGGCCCTGCAGAGAGACCTTGATAAATCAGAGGAGGGGCCAATCACCAAACACATGAAATTCAACAAGGGAGGGTGCCGGGTTGGGATGGGGCAAGCCCGGATGTAGGGACAGATGGGAATGAGAGGCTGGGAAGCAGAGCCGGGAAAGGGCCCTGGGGGTGCTGGTGGGTGCCAGTTGGCCCTGAGTCAGCAGTGCCCTGGCAGCCAGGAGGGCCAAGCCTGTGCTGGGGGCATCAGGGAGGGGATTGTCCTGCTCTGCTCTGCCCTGGGGCGGCCTCACCTGCAAGATTGGGGCAGTTTGTGGGGACACAATGGAAGGAAGAGATTGAGCCATTGGAGAGTGTCCAAAGGAGGGCACGAGGATGGGGAAGGGCCTGGAGGGGAAGGCGTGTGAGGACACTGAGGGCACTTGGTGTGTTCAGCTGCAGAAGAGGAGACTGAGGGGAGACCTCACTGCAGTCACAACTTCCTGGGCAGGGGCAGAGGAGGGGCAGGCCCTGAGCTCTGCTCTAGTTGGAACAGGGACAGGACTGAAGGAATGGCCTGGAGTTGTGTGAGAGGAAGTTTAGGTTGGATCTTCAAAAAAGGTTCTTCCCCCAGAGGGTGGTTGGCACTGAACAGGCTCCCCAGGGCAGTGGGCACAGCTCCAAGGCTGACAGAGCTCCAGGGGTGTTCAGATGATTCTCTCAGCACACGGTGTGACTCTTGGGGATGGTCCTGTGCAGGGCCAGGAGCTGGACTTGATCATCTTTGGGGGTCCCTTCCAACCCAGCATATTCTGTGATTGTGGGAATTACATCCCAGCATTCCCTGACCTGCAGGGATCCCTCCTCACCTTGGCTGCAGCCACAGCTCTGTCAGGGACAGGGAGATGACAGGAAGGAAGACACTGAATGCCAAATCCTCCTTAAAAATGGTACGTGATGGCCCAGAGCAAAAAGAAATGTCAACAGCATATCGTGTCTTTCACTGGAAATAGCACAGGAAAAGAAATGTTCTGTTGCGTTGGTAACTTAAGGACATTTTGGCACAGGTTATTTTAAAACCTGCGGGGTTGTGAGCGAGTTCGTCGGAGATGCCTGTTGTGTGATGGTCTCGGGGCACGCTGGGAATTGAAGTCCCGGGGGAAGCCCGGGAAAGGATCACCAATTCCTGCTGTCCCGGGAAGAGCCTTTGGGGTGATTGGACATTTCAAAATGCTCGCTCCCCCCACCTTTGGTAACCGCGCCTTTTTGGAATTCAGGAGCTTGTTCAGTCTCTCTTTTTCCACCATCCCGACAGGGTTTTGTTTTTATTCAGGAACGATTTAAAAGGGACAATTCAAAAGGGATGTGGGAAACCAGGAGATCAGAATCTCTCGGGATTTCCGACCTGTGGCAGCCTCCGGATCGTGGAAAGGATCGAAGGAGCTCTGGAAGCGCAAAAAACCTGCGGATTTCAGCACCTCGAGTGGGAGATGATAAAAAAAAAATACAAAACATAATAGAAGAGTAGGAGTGGACCCGGTGAAGAGACAAAGTATCAGGGAACGAGAGGTCGGGCCGGAGATGGGGGGGATTAATTTATTATATAATTTATTTATTTATTTATTAAACAAACAGCGAAGAAATGTTTCAAAACCAAGAATTACAGTACTTTTAAGATGGGTTTATAAGTATGTGCCATGTTTTCCACGGACTGGGACTACACAAGTAAATGAAGGAAAGAAAATTGGATTAAGGCATCTTGATGAAGCAGGACTTGGAAGCTTTTGACCATCGAGCTGTTGGTAAAGAAATCATTACCGCTTTGAAAGCAATAAAAGTTAGTTTTTGAGGTTGTATGTGGATGTGTGTTTGTATGTTTGGATTAGTAAGAGTGTGAATTTTGTTTTTATTCACTGCCACAAAAACCTTGTGAAAAAGGCATTTAGAAATCAACTCACCTTGCTGATATTTTCAAATAAAGCACTTATATATATGTGTACATAAGACTTGAGTGTGGTGAATGGGACAAGTATTAACAGCTATCGTGGCTGATTGCAGAACACAGCCTTGAAAACTTCGATGAAATCCCAGACAAAAGCGTCAGTACTCACTGATTTGTAACTGGTACCTGAGCTGTGTGTTATCCCAAGGATTCACAAACCAAAGCACAGGAATTAATGAATTTTATTTGCTTTTCCTTACCACACGGGGTTAATACCTGACATAAAGTTGTTTGTATTTTCAGTTTTATCCACAGGATTAACACAGGAACAGATGATGTTCAAATCTTTCCCTGCACTTCCATGGCAGGAGCTGCTGCTCCCTGGGAAGGCTGACTGGGAATTCCCTCTGTGTTCTGATACTTAAAGCGACAACATTTAGCTCCACACAGCACACTTTGTATTTTAGATCAACAATTTAATGACATCTTAACGTTGTTTTTACAATCTGAACACGTTGTGCCTATTTTATTCCTCAGGAAGTTGAAATCTTTTTAAATGGAAGTAATTCCATTCAAGTTTTAGAAGTGTCAGAACTATTCTAACCTACTGAAAACAAAACAGCCTGAAAGGACAGGTCTAACAGCACTTCAGATGCAGGGAAAGCAAGATGACTTCAGGTGAAAGTGCAGGCATTTAACAGCTTCAGTATTTCTTTCCCAAAGTGTCCTCTGTGAAGGAAGACAGAGTAAATTCCAAAGAACAGAACAAAACTTTTTTAAAACCAGCATTTCTAATGCCAGAACCAGTTTGGAAACAACTTCCTGTGCAGTTATTTCAAAATTCAAAACGGAGGTTTTACAGCAGAGGGGAGGAAAGGTGGGAAAGGCTCTGCAGGGGATGGAGATCTGCAGATCTGGAAGGAGGGAAAGGCTCTGCAGGGGGATGTAGATCTGCAGATCTGGAAGGTGGGAAAGGCTCTGCAGGGGGATGGAGATCTGCAGATCTGGAAGGAGGGAAAGGCTCTGCAGGGGGATGGAGATCTGCAGATCTGGAAGGTGGGAAAGGCTCTGCAGGGGGATGTAGATCTGCAGATCTGGAAGGTTTAGGTGTGTAAAGGAAATGAACGTGGGATTAAACAACACGACACAAAAACACACCAAAAAACCAACTCTGAGAGAACAATCAACACTGCTCTCAGTGCCACACTAACAAACAGTGCCAGGACACTTGGTATTTCTTTGCATTTTAAGCAAAGAACTTGGCAACTTCTTTGATTTTCCTTTTCCTGTCCACTTTGGCCACCGCAGCCCATCCCGCCTCGTGCATTTTCCTCATGGCTTTGAGTTTGAGGGCAGAGCCCGGAGATTTCCCACTGGAGGGAGTCGGTGCCTAAGAAAGAAAGAAAGTAAAGCCACCAGTGGTTTCTGGGAAGAATTTGATCAACTGTTTGGTTTCAGCTGAG